ATAGAATAGAATATTTTATATATTTATAAATTAATTATTTATATATTTATTATTTATTATTATTATTATATTTCTTTTATTTATCTCAGACAGAACTGACAATCTCAAGCCCAGAAAAATATCAACTAAATGAACCGGGGAGGGGAGGGAGAGCAAACTTTAATAAATGACTTAATTACCTGAAGGTTTAATTGGGGGATTACAGCTCTCATGGCTTTAAATCCCTGTTGGAACTCCTGGTCTGAGCTGGCAGAACTTTGGCAAAGCCTGTGAGAGGCAGCAGTAGGAGGTGAGAAATTCCAAAGGAAATGTCCTGAGCAGCATGAAAAACACAAATGTATTTTTAAAAGGGTGATGGGGAATGTTAGAGCACGTTCTTGTGTCACCTCCTCGCAGCGGCTGCCAGGGATTTATTCTGGTTTGGTACGGCTCCTTCTTGAATTAAGATTTCAGATCTGGTTTATTGGGGGTTTTAATTCTCTTATTTTTTTGTCCTGCCCACCCCAGATCTCTCCTGCTGATGTTTCTTTATCAGTTCTGGAATTCTGCTGCGTTCTGGGCATTAAAAAATAAAGCAAAACTCAGATAAAAGGAGTGAGAATTCAGTAAAAGAAGAAGGAAAGGCCAGAGAGGGGGGAAAATGTGGAAAATAGGGGAGGAATCATTCCCTGGCACAGATTCCCAGAAAAGCTGAGGATTCCTGATCCCTGGGAGTGTCCAAGGCCAGGGCTTGGAACAACCTGGGACAGGGGAAGGTGTCCCATGGCAAAGGGATGGGGTCTGCATCTCCCTTCCCACCCAAAACACCTGGGCTTGGTGAAATCCAGTCCCGTGGAACCCACCTGGGGCTGTAATTTCTCCTTTCGGAGACAGCTCGGGCACAAATTTTCAGAGGAAGGGACAGAAAGCAGATTTTAATTCACATTCTGTCTCTGTTAAATCCCAAATCACATCCTGCACCTTTCTCCACACCTGCTGGTGTTTTATCATCCCAATCCCAGCTCCTTTCTCTGCAGGAAACGTCGTGTTCCTGCCACGGCACAGCGGTGGGAGGTGTGATAAAATGTGCTTTTAATTCCACTCCAGTTCCTTCAGAATGGATGTTTTATTTCTAAAGCCTGCACAGGCAGAGCTTTTTGTGGTTTTGCTCCTCGGGATGTAGCAGCTCTGATTTCCTGAGCACAAGGATCCTGAAACTTTGGGAAGGAATTAAGTAAGGAGTTAAATTCCATAATTTCTCCTCAGGAGCGTGTGCTGGGAGTTGTGGCTTTGGACACTTCTCATGGGTTTAACCCATTTCTATTGGGGTTTTCATTTAAGCCATCAAATCATTTCTATTTTATGAATAAAATCAATTTTCACAATCAGAAAATTTCTGGAACGGGCACATCAGTGATAATCAGGCTGGATTTTGTGCCTTCAGCCTCATCTTTCTCTCCAAAAATGGGATTAGGGAAGGGAACAGCGGGCAGTGAGCTGGACAAAACTTTTCTCTCCAGATTTCTCCTCACTTGTAGGATTCTCTGGCTTGGAAAGCAGGACAGGGATTGGATTTTCCTTCACTTGGCTGAGTGTGGGGCTGGAAAAAAATCTCCAATCCACAATCAAGATCTCGTAGGGGCTCCCTGAGTTGTACCAAACACCCCGAGAAACCTCAGAGCATCCTCACCCACCGAGCTGAGCCTCTTCTGGAGGAGATCCTCGTGTCCTTGTGAAGGGATTTCTCTGCAAAGAGGGATCCTGAGCTTTATCCAAGGTTGAAACTGATAATTTAACTCATCCAGAGCAGGAAGAACTCCCCCAGGAGCGGTGACTCGGTGCCTGGAGCTCCCTGTGGATCCTCCTGCTCTTTGGAGAGCCCCATCATTTTCCCTCTGAAGGAATGCTGCTGATGACCTGGGCTCAAATTAAAGCCAGGTTTTGTTTGAACAGCCCATGTGAGGAGACACAAAGGAAGCTGCAGATGATTTTTATTGTGGTTCCAGGAGCGTTTTCCTCGCTGGGTGTGAGCAGGGGGTGTAATTAGACAATTTTTTCCTGTGGAGTAACTCCTTTTAGCAATTTTCTTCACAAGGAATTGCTGTTCAAAGGTTCTGCTTGATGCTTTAAGCAGAGCCCAAGTGTAGAGTAAGGCTTTAAAATTAAACCTCTCCTTTCCAAACCTGTGCAAAGGGCTCAGGGATAAAATCCCCTGTGGCTCTGATGTTTGGGAATTGTGATGCTGGAATCATGGAGGGGGTGTTAAAACAGGCAGAAAAACAACTTCACTCGACTCTTCCAGCCTAATGGAATCAGCCCTTCCCATTAAATTAATTTGTTTTCCACAGAGCCCATCAAATAGCATTTAATTTGTTATAATGAGGTCGGGCATGTTGGATCAAGGCTTGGGATGATCAGGGAGATTCCCTGTGTTTTACAGCATCTTAAAAATGCTGCTTTAGACAGAGTTAGTGCTGAAAGCAATGCTTTTCCTGCCGTGGGTTCAAACCTGATGGGTCTGGAGAGTTTCCCTTCCCTTCCCTTCCTGATCCCTGAGAGGTGATGGAGTCAGAGACACAGAGAGTGTGTCCTTGTCTCTGATAGCTGGCTCTGACATCCAGGAAAACACTGAATTTCATATAATTTCATATAATTTCATATAATTTCATATAATTTCATCTATATTTCATCTATATTTCATATGATTTCATCTAATTTCATCTATATTTCATAATATAATATAATGTAATATAATGTAATGTAATATAATGTAATGTAATATAATATAATATAATATAATATAATATAATATAATATAATATAATGTAATATAATGTAATGTAATGTAATGTAATATAATGTAATGTAATGTAATATAATGTAATGTAATGTAATATAATGTAATATAATATCATATCATATCATATCATTATAATATAATACAATACAATATAATTATAATACAATACAATATAATTATAATACAATACAATACAATACAATATAATACAATACTATATAATACAATACAATACAATATAATACAATACAATACTATATAATACAATATAATACAATATAATACAATACAATACTATATAATACAATATAATACATTATAATACAATACAGTACATTTATAACACCATTCCAAAGGGGATTTTGTGATTCTCCTGCCTTTCCCTGCTCTGCATTCCCAGGAAAAGAAGAGGATCCCATTCCTTGGGAATGCTTTTAAGGCAGGAACCTAGAGAAGCTTTGGGGGGACCCCGAGGTGTCTCCATCTCTTTTTTGGGAGTTTAACTCTCCCAATTTCCTTGGGAGCAGAGCTGTGGATGTGACTCAGCTTTACAGGAAAACTCCTTTAAGGAATGCTAATCCTGAGTGCTGCTGGCTTCTGTTTATATCCAATATCCTCTCCAGAGAGCTGGGTGCCCTTTATTCTCCTCTCAGACACCAGGCTGAGCCCCAGGAGTGACGGAACGCCACTGGAATGTGATGTGTCACATCTGGGAAAAAAAATAAAGGGCTGCAGGAAAAGTCAGGCTTGACCTTTATTTGTGAGTGGATGGAGGGAAAAAAATAGAGAAAAAATTTTAAAAAAGCCTGGCTAGGTTTGGAAATTCATGTTGCTTTTTTTAGAAGAAATTACTAAAAATGTAATAAAAAGCCCCAAAGTCTGGGAGCTTTGGATGAGTCAGGAAAGGGATTTTTGGATGCAGCTGGAAACCATTGGAATTGCTGCGTGGGAGCCAAGAAATAAAGCGAGTTTGGAGGAGCAGCTGCAGGGTAAAGGAGGTTCACATAATTTTTATAGAATTTAAAAGTTTAATTAAAAAAAAAAAAAAAACCAATTAGGAGAAAAAAAGAAAGTAAAATATACAGAATCAGGCTGGGTGTCTCTGCATTCACCTCCCTTAAAAACAGAATTTTACTACAAATCCATAAATTCTCACACATATTCAGACATTCTCCTTGAGTTTTTTGATGTTCTTATTTTTCAGTTATTACCTTGCCAAGAGGATTGATCTATTGGGAAGTGGGGCAAGAATATATTAGAATATATTAGGATATATTCTACTCTAATATATTCTAATATATCCTAATATATTCTAATCTATTCTATTCTAATATATTATATTAGAATATATTTCTTATATATTACATCTAGCAATATATTGCTATATATTTGTTATATTTAAATTATATTGTATTATATTATGTTGTATTGTATTATATTGTATTATATTATGTTGTATTGTATTATACTATGTTGTATTGTATTATATTGTATTGTATTATATTGTATTGTATTATATTATATTGTATTATATTATATTATATTATATTATATTATATTATATTATATTATATTATATTATATTATATTATATTATATTATTACTAGTATTAAGAATATTAAGAATATATCTTAATTATAATGAATATAATTAATTTATATATAATATATAATGTATAATATGTAATAAATAATATGTAATATATAATACATAATACATAATACATCATATATAATACATCATATATATCATATATCATATATCATATATCATATGTAATATGTAATATATAATATATAATATATAATATATAATATATAATATATAATATATAATATATAATATATAATATATAATATATAATATATAATATATAATATATAATATATAATATATAATATATAATATATATATTGGGTGCCCAAAGGAGCTGAGGCTGAATCCTTGGAAGTTTCTGGAACAATCTGGGACAGTGGGAGATGCCTGGAATGTGATTTTTTGAGGTTCCTCCCATCCCAAAACTCTGCCATTCCCTGTTCCTGGCATGTTGGGGAGCAGCAGGAACGCTGATCCCAACAAAACCCTCCCAAGCTTTGGAGGGAGAACCATCTGCTCTGCATTTCCAGTGACTGCCATCCTCCCACATCCATCACAATTCTGTCATTCCCAGCGGAAAAAAAGCACTTTTCTCCCTAATTAACACTTTGTCTGGTCTTTCAGATGGGAGGAGGAGCTGAGCAGAAGGATGAGCCTGGAATCCATGGTGGAAACCTTGCGAGAGGTGAGGTGTGGGGTGAAAGGTGCAGGGGTTTTTCTGAACTGACAGCGTTTTATTTGTCTTTTAAATAAAGATCTGCCTCCTGGCTGGAGCAGCTGTGCTCTAAAAAAATGTTGGGGAGCTGGGGCAGGAAATGGGGAAGTTTGTGGTGGAGTTTGATGAGGTTTGTGATGAAGGTTGTGATGGAATTTGTGATGGAATTTGTGATGGAATTTGTGATGGAATTTGTGAAGTTTGTGATGGAATTTGTGAAGTTTGTGATGAAGTCTGTGATGGAATTTTGATGGAATTTGTGATGAAATTTTGATGGAATTTGATGAAGTTTGTGAAGTCTGTGATGAAATTTGTGATGGAATTTGTGAAGTTTGTGATGAAGTTTGTGATAAAATTTGTGATGAGGTTTGTGAAGTTTTTGATGAAGTTTGTGATGGAATTTGTGATGAAATTTGTGATGGAATTTGTGAAGTTTGTGATGGAATTTATGAAGTTTGTGATGAATTTGTGATGAAATTTGTGATGAGGTTTGTGAAGTTTGTGATGAAGTTTGTGATGGAATTTGTGATGGAATTTGTGATGGAATTTGTGATGGAATTTGTGAAGTTTGTGATGGAATTTTGATGGAATTTGTGATGGAATTTGTGAAGTTTGTGATGAAGTTTGTGATAAAATTTGTGATGAGGTTTGTGAAGTTTGTGATGAAGTTTGTGATGGAATTTGTGATGAAATTTGTGATGAAATTTGTGATGGAATTTGATGGAATTTGTGAAGTTTGTGATGGAATTTGTGAAGTTTGTGATGGAATTTATGAAGTTTGTGATGGAATTTGTGATGAAATTAGCAACAAAGTGAGAGGAGGGGAGTGAAGCGCAACAATTAAATTTCACTAAAGAAAAATTCCTTTCTATCCCATTTTTCCCGTTGCCTGGCCAGCCTGCTGAGGCTGGCTGAGGAATTTTCTGGAATCTCTGGGGATTTTTCCCTTGCAGGAGGCCCAGGAAGCAGAAGCTCTCCAGGAGGAGCTGAATGAGAAGATCGAGAGGCTGAAAGCAGAGCTGGTGGTCTTTAAAGGTCTGATGAGTGATGTAAGTACAAGGATTTGTGTGTATGTGTGTGTGTCCTGCACAGCTTCATCATGGCCAGGTGATTAGCTGCTGTGTTAATTACTGCTGTGTTAATTAGCCATGGCTGCTGGCATCTCCTGCATCAGACAGATTTCCCTTTCCCTGCTTCCTGTCTGGTTTGTGTGGAGATGCATTAAGTGCTGCTCACCCCCTAAAGGACTCTCCCCTCCCTTCCCCTCCAGGATCTGGGAAAAAAAGGGTTGGAAAACTCCAGGAAAATCCAAAAAGGGGTTGGAAAACTCCAGGAAAATCCCAAAAGGGGTTGGAAAACTCCAGGAAAATCCCAAAAGGGGTTGGAAAACTCCGGGAAAATCCCAAAAGGGGTTGGAAAACTCCAGGAAAATCCCAAAGGGGTTGGAAAACTCCGGGAAAATCCCAAAAGGGGTTGGAAAACTCCAGGAAAATCCCAAAAGGGGTTGGAAAATTCCGGGAAAATCCCAAAAGGGGTTGGAAAATTCTGGGAAAATCCCGAAGTGGGTTGGAAAACTCCAGGAAAATCCCAAAAGCGGGACTGGGGTGAAGGTTCATCCTAAAGGAACGCCTTGTGTGGGATCAGGGAATGGTTTGGGCTTAAAGATCATCCTGTTCCACCCCTGCCATGGCAGGGACACCTTCAGCTATTCCAGGCTGCTCCAAGCCCTTCCCAACCTGGCCTTGGGCATTTCCAGGGATCCAGGACCTCCCCACACTCACAAGTTTCCCATTTCCCTCAATAAAATCCTGAAAAGATTAATCCAGTAATCCTGGTTCAGGTATTGGATTTGCTTCCAGCTTCAGCCACAAAAAAAAAATAAAAATAAAAATATAAAATCTTTTGTTTTCTCAGGAATTTCCTGATGTCTCGTTAGATACTGAGTTGTCTTTAAAGCCAGAGGATCTTTTAGGCCCTGAGCGGATAAAATTCCTTTATTTAAAAGTGACAGCATGCAGATATCTGCAGAGATAAGGCAGGTGAACCAAAGATAAGGCAGGTGAACATGAAGGTGCCTTTCTCAATAAACCTGAGGTAGCACCAAAGCCATTTGTGTGAGGAACAAACCCCTCCACGCCCGTTTATCCCCTCATTTTTACACACACCACCTTCCTGACTTCACACAAACCCACAGAACCCTCTGGAGCTGTCAAATCCATTTCTCATTCAAATTTGGCAATTAGCTGTGTGTCCTTCTGCTGGTTAATCAAGGGTTGGTTTCAGCCAGGAGCTGCTCCCAGAAAGGTTCTGAGAAGAAACATCTCCTGGGCTGAGGGAAAGTGCTCTGCAGGATTTGAGGGATGCCCAGGAAAGCCCTGGGAGCGTTTGTTTGGAGGCTGACTGGGTAAATATTTGGAAGGGAGAAGTGCAGGATGTTGGCTCGTGGATCTTTCCTTCCTGCAGATAAACATCAGCGGTCCTGGGGGTGAGGTTGTGTCGAGCTGAGAGGTTTATTTTGCTCAGGGTGTTTGGAAAACGTAAATCTCCAGATGTGGTTCACAGGGAAAACTCCGTGTAAAAATTTAAACCAAAAATCCTCAAACTCCAAAGGTGAAAATATCCAGAGGTGGTTCACAGGGGCTGGAGAAAACTCTGTGTAAAAATTTAAAATTAAAAGTTCAAATCTCCAAAGGTGGCTCACAGGGGCTGGAAAAAATGTGTAAAAATTTAAAACTAAAAGCTCAAATCTCCAGATGTGGTTCACAGGGGCTGGAGAAAACTGTGTAAAAATTTAAAATTAAAAGTTAAAATCTCCAAAGGTGGCTCATAGGGGCTTGAGAAAACTCTGTGTAAAAATTTAAAACTAAAAGCTCAAATCTCCAGAGGTGGTTCACAGGGGCTGGAGAAAACTGTGTAAAAATTTAACCCAGAAATCCTCAAACTCCTAAGGTGAAAATATCCAGATGTGGTTCACAGGGGCTGGAGAAAACTCTGTGTAAAAATTTAAAATTAAAAGTTAAAATCTCCAAAGGTGGCTCACAGGGGCTGGAAAAGACTCAGTGTAAAAATTAAAAACTGTGTAAAATTGTGTAAAAATTTAAAACTAAATCCCCAAACTCCAAAGGTGGTTCACAGGGGCTGGAGAAAACTCTGTGTAAAAATTTAAACCAAAAAAAGGTAGGGAAAAACAAACCAAACCAACAAAAAGCCCAAAGCTTTCCTCTTAGAAAGGGGTTTTGATGTTTAAAATTGGTCTACAAAGGGTTTTTCCATTTTTGTGTCCCAGGTGGAAGCATTGCTCAGGACTGGGACTGTCCAGGACAGCGAGACTAGGATGGAAAATTTTAATATTTATGCTTTGGGGCTTTTTTTTTTTAATGTTTCTTCCTTTGTTAGAAGTTCTGTGTGAGTGGGAGGATCTGTTAGAAATTAGAATTACTACAAGGCAGTGTTTTCCACACAGGAATTTTGATGCAGAACTTTTTCTGGGCTGGAGGCCAGGTCAGTGCCAAGGTTTTCATGGATCTCTTTGGATCCAGCCACGATTTGCTGGCTCCATGCTCTGGATTCTGGTTTGGATTCTGCTTTAACAGCAGCTTTTGTGTCAGGAAGAGGGGAAGTGTTAAATCCTGGCCGGAATTTCCATTTCATTCTCTGCACAGCCCAGAATTGGGGGTGTTTTACGTTTTTTAAAGCGTTATTTACGGAATCCCAGAACGGTTTGGGATGGAAGGGACAATCCAGTCCCACCTCAGCCTCGAGCGCTCCCAGGGCAGCCTCAGCTTCTCTGGGCATCCCATTGTCCTGTTCCTGGAGGTTCCCTGAGCATTTTTGGGGTGGGTACAAGAATTTTTTTCCCCCCCTCTGAGTCGGAACTTTGTTGGAACCAGGGCTGAGCCGCGGAGCCGCGCCCGAGGACAGGGCAGCGACGTTTAACAGCGGCGTGGGGTTCCAGAGATACTGCGGGGTATCTCCTCTTGCCTGAACTGTCTAATAACAGAAGATAATCCCTGCTGTCCTTCCTGCAGCCCATGACAGACCTGGACACAAAGATCCAAGAAAAGGCCATGAAGGTGGACATGGACATCTGCCGCCGAATCGATATCACGGCCAAGCTGTGCGATGTCGCGCAGCAGCGCAACTCGGAAGACGTTTCCAAGATTTTCCAGGTGATTAGGCCCTGAATTTTCCATAGGGTAGGGCAGGAGGGAGCAGAGAAATGTGGTCCAGGTCTTTTTTTTTTTTTGCCTTTTCTTGAACTCTGTAGCCATAAAACAAAGCCCCCGCTGTCTGTCAGTGTCAGGAGCTGCACCAAGAGCACAAAGTGACAGTGTTTAACAAAAAAAGGAGTCCCAGGATGATCTTTAAGCCGTGCTGAGTCTGGTGTGAGTCCGCACTGAATGCAGGGGGAAAAAAAAGCAGAGTTTTAGGGTCTAGGTTTGTATAATCCCTCCCTCCCATTTGTTCCCATCACAAGTGAGAAGTTTGAAGCTCCTGGAGCTGTCATCTGAGTGTTCTTATTTCTGGCTCGAGCTGCGTGGCCAGAAATAACATTTCTGTGACTGCGAGCTCTGGCTGCTGCAGTTGCTTTCCCTTGGAGCTCCAAGGAAAGTTCTTTGATTTGCTCCAAAAGCGAGCGGTGACGGCTCTGCCTGGATCAGGGCTGGCACTCCCAGTGCAGCTGGTCTTGTCACAACTGCAGTCCCAGGCTGATTAACCCCCACCTTCCTTCTGCTTCCATCTAAATGTGTCTTGTTCAGGCTTTCAGTGAATCTTTTCTGTGTGTAGTGATGCCACACTGGGTGCTAAATGCTGTCCAAAACACTCTAAAAGATCCTTGTGCTCTCTGCTGGCTGAAATGTTTGATGGGGTTTTTTTCCCCCCTCTTGTGTTCTCCAAAAGACTGAAACCTCCTGAGAGGAGAATTATTTCTCTGTGTGGGGTGCCAGTGCTGCTTTCTTGTCTCTGAGTTGAAATGCTGAGTCCCTGTGCTCAGAGGAGACTGCAGAGCACACTCCTGGTCAGGCTGCAGGGGTTAAAGGGAGCAGGAGAGCAGGGCTGCCAGGGGATGGTTGGTTTGTGTGCCAGGGAGAGGGAAACCTGCTCTAGGTTGGGAGTGGATGGTGTGTTTGAGGTTCTGGCACCAGCAGGGAGCATCCTGTGTGTTCCCATCCCTATGGGAGCATCCTGTGTGTTCCCAGCCCTCTGGGATCCTCTGGGAACATCTGGGAACATCTGGAATCCTCTGGGAGCATCCTGTGTGTTCCCATCCCTCTGGGAGCATCCTGTGTGTTCCCATCCCTCTGGGAGCATCCTGTGTGATCCCATCCCTATGGGATCATCTGGGATCCTCTGGGAACATCTGGAATCCTCTGGGAGCATCCTGTGTGTTCCCAGCCCTCTGGGATCCTCTGGGAACATCTGGGAACATCTGGAATCCTCTGGGATCATCCTGTGTGTTCCCAGCCCTCTGGAATCCTCTGGAATCCTCTGGGAGCATCCTGTGTGTTCCCAACCCTCTGGAATCCTCTGGAATCCTCTGGGAGCATCCTGTGTGTTCCCTCTGTGCCCCTTGCAGGGGTGTCCCTCGAATTCCCCAAATTTCTCCATTCCTTGGGCACTGTCCAGGCTTTCCCATGGCTCCTCCAACCCTTCCCACATCCCGAGGATCTGCCTGTGGAATAAAGTCTGTCTGGAGAGGTTTCCTGTCTGTTCCTTGCTGGGGTTCCCGTGGCGCTGGCAGGAAGAGGGAGAGTTCTGTCACTGGTGCTTTTCCCCACCCTGGCTCACCCCAGGCTGGGCTTGGTGAGCACCCCAAGATCTCCCCAGGCTGTGCATGGCCCCAGTCTGGCTTTGGTGAGCACCCCAAGATCTCCCCAGGCTGTGCATGGCCCCAGTCTGGCTTTGGTGAGAACCCCAAGGCTCTCCCCAGAGCAGCCTGCAGCTCTCTGCTCACCCCAGGCTGGGCTTGGTGAGCACCCCAAGGCTCACCCCAGGCTGTGCATGGCCCCAGGCTGGGCTTGGTGAGCACCCCAAGGCTCACCCCAGGCTGTGCATGGCCTCAGGCTGGGCTTGGTGAGCACCCCAAGGCTCACCCCAGGCTGTGCATGGCCTCAGACTGGGCTTGGTGAGCACCCCAACATCTCCCCAGAGCAGCCTGCAGCTCTCTGCTCACCCCAGGCTGGGCTTGGTGAGCACCCCAAGGCTCACCCCAGGCTGTGCATGGCCCCAGGCTGGGCTTGGTGAGCACCCCAAGGCTCACCCCAGGCTGTGCATGGCCTCAGGCTGGGCTTGGTGAGCACCCCAACATCTCCCCAGAGCAGCCTGCAGCTGGCTTTGTTCACCCCACATCCTCATCCCTGCGCCGCTCCGCTCCTCACCGCCCGCCCAGGGAACCCCTGCAGCTCCTCCCAGCCCATCCCTGCGCTCTCCTCACCCCAAAAATCCCTCCCTGAGCACAGCCCCGTGCTCACTGCTGCTCCTCTCTCCACCCAAGGTGGCCTCCAAGAAGAAGGAGAGGAAGCTGGCGTCGGACGAGGAGCTGTCGGAGCAGGACGCGGACAACGGGAGGTTCTCGGATGAGGAGGTCAGCTGCTCCCTCAACATCACCGATGAGATGAAGAGGATGTTCAACCAGCTGTGAGTGTCCTGGGAAACAGCCCTGCCTGAAAAACGAGGTGCACTCGCTTCAGGAAAGGTTTAAAATAAATGGAATGACAATTAGGAGATGAAGTTAATGAAGAAAAGGGTTCAAACAGCCCTGGAGCGCTGCCAGGATCACACCTGAGATCTTTGGAAAACTCCTTTTATCCCATTCTGCTGGGATATCCCATTCTGTGAGGTTTTGATGCATATTCATATTTTTCCAATTTTTTTCCACATTTTTTTCCCCATTTTTTCCAATATTTTTCCATGATTTTGCATGGCCCCGAATCCTCCTTATGGCCCCGAATCCTCCTTTTCTAGAGCACGCGTTTTAAAGATTTTATTTCCCTTTATCGCATTTTATTTATCACGTATTTTATTTCTGCAGACCATCAGTGCTGATAGCAGCCTGGGCATCACCACCTGCAGGTTATCTGGATTTTTCACTTCTCCACTGCTAAATTCAGTGTGACAGCAGGCAGCCTGTGTGTGTGTGTGTATTTTTTTTTAAAAAAAAAACCAAACAAGAAGTTAAAATGTATTTAGGTTTTAATTTCATCAATAATAAAAATAAACTATATTAATACAGCTAAATTTTCTAACTTTCTTAATATACCACGAATGATAATATTTGTGAAAAGGCAGTAATTGAATGTGTAATTAATTAATTAAAGGAGTGAGGGATGGGTTAATGGCTGCTCTGCTCTGCCAGGCGTGAGACGTTCGATTTCGATGACGACTGTGACAGTTTGACGTGGGAGGAGAACGAGGAAACGCTGCTGCTTTGGGAAGATTTCACCAACTGCAATCCCTCCATCGACCTCCAGGGAGAGGTGAGTTCATTCCCAGGGTTTTTCCAACTCTTTCCCCTCCTGTTCCTCTTTTATGGACAAAAATACACATAAATATATAAATATTTAAATATACAAATATATAAATATATAAATATATAAATATATAAATATATAAATATATAAATATATAAATATATAAAGATATAAAGATATATAAATATATAAATATGTAAAGATATAAAGATATAAAGATATATAAATATATAAAATTATATATATTTTTATTAATATGTAGTTATTTCATATAATTATTAGTAGAATTATTAGTAGAATTTTATTGTAATTATAAATTATGTATTAAAATTATGTTATTAAATTATATTGATTATATAATAGATATAGATTATATAAATTATATATATTACATAGAATATAATATATAAATTATATATTATATCATAGAATATAATATATAAATATATAAATAGAATATAATATATAAATTATATATTATATAAAATAATATTAAATTATATATTTAATTATATTTTAAATTAGATTAATTATAGATAATATATAATTTTATCTTATAAAAATTAATAATTATGATTATTAAATGGAATAATTAAATAATTAATTAATTATAATTATTAAATGGAATGGGCTGGGAACGGCTGAGAATGGCTGGGAATGGGTTGGGAATGGCTGGGAACAGCCTGGGAATGGCCAGGAATGTACTGGGAACAGCCTGGGAATGATGGAATGGGTTGGGAATGGCAGGGAACAAACTGGGAATGATGGAATGGGTTGGGAACAGCCTGGGAATGATGGAATGGGTTGGGAATGGCAGGGAAGAGCCTGGGAATGATGGTATGGGTTGGGAATGGCAGGGAACTGCCTGGGAATGATGGAATGGGTTGGGAACAAACTGGGAACGGCCGTGTCGCTGCATCCCGGAGCAGCGCAGCCCTGGGAGGTGGGAAACACTCCCGCTGCCAGGGAGGATGCCGAGGCAGCAGCCTCGGGAACGCCGGCTCCTGTTCCAGCTCCCCATTCCTGGATGATCCATGAGGAGCTCCGGGAGCCTCCAGGGATTTACCGGGAAGCGCTGGGGAGGAACCGCGCTGAGCCGGAGCAGGGAGAGCGGCAGAGGGATAACGGGATAACGGCAGAGGGATAACGGGAGAGAGTGGCAGGGTGATAACGAGGAGCAGGAATTAATGAGGGCTCATTTGCATACGCCAGGGCCCGGCTGAGCGCAGCAATAGCGCCGAGCCCAGGCTCCGCGCGGGGAAACTCTTTATATATAAAGATTTTAAGAAGCTTAAATCCTTCTAAATGAAAAATTATCCAAGGAAAGGGTAGATTTGGCTTGTAGATGGAGGTGCAGAATAAAGAGCTCTCCGGCTGTGCCTGCTCTTTAACATGTGCTTTACATGCCGAAATCTTCCTTCCGTGGGTTTTATTCCAAGTCCTTACACGCTGGCCTCGCCACCTCCTTTCATGACCTTCCTCCTTAAAGCTCTTCTGCATATAAAAGGATCAGTGGGATGATTCTTGTTAACTCCAGGTGTAGGAGAGGCTTTCTGAGGACGGTCTGAGACATGGCAGAGACCTCTATGATCGAGTTGGGTGTTAGAAGTTTATTTCAGGGTGTGGGATGGAGAGACAGAGCCTGCTATGAGCCAGCACATAGAGCTCAAAGTGGGCTTGGAGAGAACAATACAAAAGGGGTAAAATATGAATACATGAGCTCAAGACTTAAGAAGAGAGTGACAGAACAGAAGTGAGAGAGCTGGGGAAAAGAAGAGCAAGAGTGTGGAAAGAGTGAGGCAAGAGGGCTGAGAGAGAACAAGAGAACTTAGAAAACCAAGAGAGACCAAGAGGGCTAAAAGAGAGAGCTAAGAGAACCAAGAGAGCAAATTCTCTTTTGCAATTACTTATATAACTTACTTTATATAATAAACTTATTATTATAAATAATAATAGAATATTATTTGAATATTCTATTCCTTCACTAACCAATCTTTCTAAGTACACTAATCCAGTAACATTTGTGTGTGACCTATAGAAATCGCTGCTTTTGCATATTTTTAGTTATCTCAGGGTCCCTAAATTTCTTTATAAGGGTGGGGAGAGGGGTCTCAGCTTGGTTTTATTGGGGGACAGAATGTGTTCTGGCATGCCAGACCAGTTTATTTGAATTATTCAAACGCTGCTTTCATTTGTATTTCTTCCTTAGCCTTTCTGGCTAAAGAAAAGCTTTATTTTATATGTTATATATATTATAAATATATTATAAATAAATATAAAGATATATAAAGATATAAATTTATATTATTTATATAAATAATATAAAAAATAGTATAGTATAGTATAGTATAGTATAGTATAGTATTTATATAAATACTATAAAAATACATTATTAATTATATTAATTATTAAATAATATCATAATAATAATTAATAATGTATTAATAATTAATTAATATAATTAATTATTAATTTAATGATAAAAAATAATTGTTGATATAATTGACTATTGATATAATTAATTAATAATTAATTATAGTAATTATATGTTATGAATGAATCTAAATATATATAAATGTATAAATATATAAAAATATATAAAATATATTCACATATGAATAAATAGAATTATAAATATATTATAATATGTATTATAAATAAATAAAAATTATATATTTATAATTTCTTTCTAATTCTACCTTCCCAACACCCAGGCTGGTGTGGGCACGGGGAATGAGCCCCGTAAAATCCGCCACAGAGCGTGGAAAACTCATTTAACGCTCATTTGTTTAATTGGGGGTGATTTTTGAATGGGAGAAGAAGGTGGTTGAAGAGGGAACGGTGACGTTGTGGGTGGCTTTTTTGGGCAGCTCTGTGTGATTGGAAGCTCAGGCTGTGCTGTCAGCCCAAAGGAGGAGCGTTTGTTGCTGTTTTACCCAGGAATTCCAGTGGGAATCCGGTGGGATGTGCTGGAGAGTGATGATACACAAGTGGAAAATGAGAATTCCAGTGCAGGGAAAATGAAAAGTTTCATAGCTGGAGAGCAATTCCAGCATGTCCAAGTGGGATCAGGCTGTGAAAAGCTCAGGAAAATCCAGGGGTTGGTGCTTTGGGATGCATCAGGTGCTTGGATTTAATTCCTGGAGCCGCGATCACACCTCACCTTTGTGGTCATGGCACAGAAATGTGATTTCCTGGGATTCCAGATTGAAGAATATTCCTTAACTGTGAAGAAAAAAAACATCTTTAAAAAATATCAGTGCATGAAGGGACCACAATAACCTGCATTTCCAGGAGAGGTTAAATAAAATGTTCAGTTAAATAAAATCTTCAATTAAATAAAGTCTTCAGTTAAATAAAATCTTCAATTAAATAAAGTCTTCAGTTAAATAAAGTCTTTAGTTAAATAAAATGTTTAGTTGAGTAAAATTTTTAGTTCAATAAAATGTTTAGTTGAATAAAATGTTTAGTTGAATAAAATGTTTAGTTATATAAAGTCTTTAGTTAAATAAAGTCTTTAGTTAAATAAAATGTTAAGTTAAATAAAATGTTTAGTTAAATCTTCAGTTAAATAAAATGTGTAGTTAAATAAAATGTTTAGTTAAATAAAATGTTGAGTTAAATAAAATCTTCAGTTAAATCTTCAGTTAAATAAAATGTTCATTTAGCTCCCGAATTCCTGTTTTTCCTTGCTGATTCTTTGTGTCCTCCTTTCCCCTGCAGGAAGAAAACCTGGGAAACTTGATCCACGAAACAGAGTCCTTCTTCAAAACTCGAGACAAGGAGTACCAGGAGACAATAGGGCAGATAGAGGTGAGGAAGGGGAATTGTTCCTGCAGTGTCCTGTCCAAACATCCACAAATTCACATTTCCCTCTGCTGTGCCCTGGGGGTTTTAATGAATTTATATATTTATAATTTATATATATATATATATATAATATAATAAATTTTATATATATATAAAAATATATATATTTATAATATACATATATATTTATATATATAATATAATATATAAAAATGTATAATATTTATATTTATATATTTATATATATAAATATAATATATATAAATATAATATGTATAATATATATAAATATATATAATATTTATATGTTTATATATTTATATATTTGAATATATTTGTAATATATATTTATATGTATAAATATAATATATATAATATATATATAAATATATATAATATTTACATATTTCTATATATATTTATATATAGAAATATAATATATATATAAATATATATTTATATATTTTTATATATCTTTATATTTATATATATTTATAATATATATTTATATATAAATATATTTTATAAGTATATTATAAATATAATATTATAAATATATATAACAATATTATAAATTACATCATATATAATTTATATTATATATATTATATCTATATAGATATATTTATATATTTATAATTTATATATTGAAAATATATAAATTTG